ATATAATATATATGTGTATATATATTTTTTGCTTTCATTAGCTTACACGATTTAATCTCTAGATACACATTTATACGATTATTGTTACAATGAATGGAAAGATGCACCTTATATATATTTATATTACGAAAAGTGAAGATAATGTTTTTATCATGTACCTTACAATGTGGCAGACATTTCAATTTTTCTGATAATGAAAACGATTATTTCTTTTTTTTTAAATTTACGACTTCAATTATTTATTATTGCTTTAATTAAAAATGTAACGGTTTTGCTGCTTTTTAAAATTTGAAAGTTCAAGCAAGTTTATCTGCTTTTTATCTATATTTAATTACTTAAAAAACAATTTAGATACATTATTAAGTCGCATAAATTTATCATCCCATAAAAAAGTAACGAATGTATACAGGGTGAATTATTAAAAAAAACAAAAATTAAAACTACTGAAATTGGTCGACTTTGGTTCAGTGTAACTTACATTTTTTAATATAATTATTTTACGGTAGACACCCTGTATATACTGCATATTTTCCTACCACATTGTTCTATTCGATAGAAATAGTAAATAGTTGGACATTGGAAGCAAAAGCTACATTTAAGAACTAGTAATTATTACTCTTATGAGAGAAATTTTATAACATCGAGAGTCATTTTTTTTTAATAATTCATTTCTAAGAAATAGGTACATGCTAACAACTTACACTTTTAAAAACCGACCTATTTTAGGGGCTGATGATTTCATTTAATTGGTATACATACTATGTACCGTAGTCTTGCTAGATATAGTAGTTTTGTATTACCCTCGTCATCGGGCGAAAAAAGCGATAAACGTCATCACAAACACCTTCCTTGTTTGTACTTAACATGCGCGAAAGTTGTACATACCATAATAAATAATTCGTTTCGGTTTCAATAAAATCGAACATCCTCAATTAAATCTAAAAGTTCGCACGCGCTGATACTATTTTATTAATTATATAGACTGCGATTTTGCTACATCATCTGATTTACTAAGCAAATAAGTTTAGAATTAATAATAAACTTACCCCAAAAAAAAAAAAAAGAAAAACAGTTAAGAGTATCAGTTTGTGAGACTTGTAAGGTCAAAGTCTGCATTTTATGAATTAATTACTGGACTAACCGCAAGTAGTGCAGTTCATTTTGCTTTCCTATCATATTAAAACGTTGCAATTTTTTTGTCTATACAGTAATTATAAAAAATAAAATTTGTTTAAGATTAAAAAAGTATAAATCAACTTGAAAATAAATTAATATACAATACTTTGCTAGAAAAGTGAATAAAAATGGCTGCTCCATTAATGGCTACTGTACATAATTAATAATTAGTGTGTAAATTCATTTTAATTACGATTATTTTCTTGTACAATTGGCATAATTTTTATTCGATGTCGACGTTAACATTAGAAGCGACCAATAAAATAAGAAAATCCAGTTGTAACCAATTAAAAAATATATTTAAATTAGTTATTCTTACAGCACTATAAAACTTTCTAACTTAATTAATTTTTTTGCCACGCCTTTTTAATGCAATGGGATAAGTTTATTAAATTCTTCAAATAAAAACGACAATACTTATAAGGCACAAATAAATACATCACTGCTAGCTAAAGAAGTATTCTCAGTCTAATTGCATCGTGTGGTATAGATGTAAACTAAGACGATATAAAAAAATTATAAAACTAAAAGGAAAAGATGAACTAAAAGCATAAAAAATAAAACAAAAAATGTATGTTTTGTCATATGTTTATTATCATCATCACCACGATTTATTTCTACAAATTATACCCGATTGTGTACGAATTATATATGTATAATATAATTGATTGCTTAATAAAATTTAAAATAACATTAACTATGTAACCAGTTACACCGAGAAGAGAAGTATCAATCAATTGACAACAAAGCGTTCGAGTTTTTTACTTTCCATAAAAAGAAATTGAAAAACAAAAAGGATAGTAAATAATAGGTACACCACAGATCTATTTGACTAAAAAATTGATAACTTTGGCAAATGAAACGATTTCAATTTATTTCACCTAAAAAAATAGTGCTCGCACACGTGTTCATTTTCTTATTTTTTTTTCCGGTAAAAATAAATGCAAAAGAAACATCTTCCAGAGAAGAACGCGTATAATCGCACCATTAGTACTAATTTTATTGCATGATTTGCAATTAAAAAAATGAGGTCGAATTTTTTCATTTCTTCTTTCACTACTTATAAATATAATATAAAAAATCGTTTGTTAAATATCAAACCTCATTTTCTTTCGTTTATAATTTTTGTTACGTTGACGTTCGAATGTTAAAAAAAAAAAGAAACAAATACAACAATAAAATTAACGGAACTAATGTGCACCGAAAATAATTAAATTAATTAAAAAAAAAACAGTTACAACAAAATTACATACAGGAATAGAAGATATAGTATAGAAAGGAAAATATTAATAAATACTGGCTAATAATATGAACGGACAATTAATTAATTACTTGATTGCGTTTCCGTAAATATATATATTTTTTAACGAACATATAGAAGTGTTTGATTAGACGACTAACATGTATTGGTAATGTCGTAATTACAAAAAACGATTGCAACTAAACTACGATTTTTTTTATTTCTTAAAAAGCTAATAACGTACGTCGTTTTGCCATTTTAAAAATATTGTTCCATCTGCTTTTTTTTTACGCTATCTATATGATAAGAAAATATAATTCTTCCGGAAATGGTTTTGTAAGGTAGACGGCCCGTCATCATCATCATTATTTATCTACAAACTATTAGGCAATAAGCTACACTTACAGACGACATACAATGTTGTTTTCTTAATATGATTATCGTGTATGTTACTTTATACTTTTTTGTGTTTGTTTTTTGTTAATAATTGGGGGTTTATATGATATATCGTTTTGCGGATCGCAGTCCCTTCTTCTTCATTAAATTATCGATTGACGAGTACGTTCTTCGACGACCTCTCACACACACCATATACATACTAATATGCACCCATGCACCCCCTACCTACAAAAATCTAAACGCTAATATTTACCTAACAATTAATTAGGTTTTTTTATTTTTCACCCTTCTCTTCGAAAAATATTATTCGGACAGTGCAAACTCAACAAGAAGACTCTCTCAAATAATTAACATTATACTGATATGTTCCTGTTTTGTATTTGTCAAAATTTCCAAAGGACGAATTGGAAAAATTAAAAACAATTATAGTAATAAAATTAATTAATATCAATTGCCATTAACTTTTCCATTATTATTTATACCGTTTGTAATGTCTGTCAGTCTTTACCTCCGTCAGGATTGTCAATAGGCTGAGGTTCAGAACGACCAGATCCCAGTCCNTTAAATCGCCAAAAGATGAAAATTAATTATTAATTTCGACAACCCATTATAGACCCCTTTCAAAAGGTGAATAAAAATATTTTTAAAAATGTTTCGTCTGAAACAGATGCGGACATGCAAGTTTTACAACTGTGCCAAATTTCAATTCCATAGCGTTAGTTAGTTGCTGACATACAGACGGATGAACCATTAAGAGTCTGTTTGTCTTTTTATTTGGTGCAGAAGTCTTAAAGCTCATATTGGAAAGATAAAGCATTTTGACCAAATGAATTATTAATGCAAATAGACTAAATCAAGTGTAAAAGTTATACTTAAGCTTATTTATGATGATATTTATATAAATAAAAGAATTATGTACATTTTAGCGCTGTGAACCTACCATAAAAAATTAACTGAAAATAATTAAACTGCATAAAATGGTGAAAACTTACTGATAAGAACTTTCACTAAGACCACTTAAGTAATCGATAAAAACCGAGTAAGGTATTTGTGTTTCCCCCAATACGATTTTTTCGAGCGGCTCACCAAGAAGTGTTGTACCCTAACGACACATGTACAAAATAAATTAAAGCGAAAACATTACATTGGTACAGAACAATTGATTAAATTTAGAACAATTTAATACAAGTATTTATAGAACAGTCCGAAAATATCTTTTCGTTTCTTTTAAGTTCAGCGATTACACACGACTGTCAATGCCCTAGAAACTGAAAATAATTCCTTATACGATAGGATTTTCGGTCAGATTTTCGTACTAATTTTCTGATATGTAAGAATCATCTGTAAGCTCGTTAAACAAGTGGCTACGTATTAAGTTAATAAAATTTAAAGACGCTTACTTGAACCACTGAAAATGCCGAAGATATGAAAAATTCGCATGAACTTACTAAAATAACACATAAAATGAACAAACTAAAATGTACGACGATCTAATACTGAAGAGCGAGAGATCATCGTCAGTGGGAGTGCCTAAATTTAGATCCACACCAAATTTAGAATTATGATACTCTTAAAATAAGACAAACCATTCCTTTTTAATATTAATTACGTTTTCGGGAAAAACTAAATGCAAGTGGTTATTTGGTTATTAAACTACAAAGCAGGAAATATAAAGATTTCCAAATAATAAAATTACTAAACCCAAAAATATGTAACGTATCCAAATCATCGTAAAATTGGTTTTAAATCCTTGCATGCATCCTGCTCAGCATAAGTATGCTTTAAAATTAGAAATTTATTTCTCATGTTTCTATTTATGGTAAACAAAAATATTTTTGCAGTTAGAAACTGTTATAAATATAGGACAAAGTAATTTTTTAATATATTTATTAAGAATCGCTGAAATTTGAATGAGTGTCCTTCTCAATTTAATTTTACAAAGTTTTACGTTCTTATAACAAAGTTCAATTAATAAGTATAGGCAACTTTTCTAACACATGAAAAGTAAGGAGTGTTTCACTTTCAACTAAGGTGACTACATCTATGACTCCATGGTTACCGAGTTATATATTTAAATAAAATTAAACTTTAAGGGGAAAAGTAAGTTAAAAAATAGGTCAAGAGCAATAACTGTCTTTCCTTCCTTCACACATTCAAGAAAAATTTAAAAATAAAGAAAGTATCTCATGCCAAAAAAGTATGTCAACAAAACAAGTTGTTCAAAGTCTATTAACAAACGCAAATTAATTCACACATAAAGAAATGACGAAGGCTTTTTGTAAAATTGACTTTTTCAAAATGGTAATTTTAATAATACTGACCGGATTACAACTTTCTACTCCATTTGACCCAAAAAAGTATTCTCTACCATAGACCACAATAGACGTGTGCCAAATTCCATCTACCCTTTTGCCTAAAATTCAAATTTGTCGTTTGCATATCTTCAAAATTTTCAAAAACAAAGCAATGTATTAAGAATAATTATACTATCAAAAAATTATTGAAAATAATACCGATAAGCATTGGTGAAATGATTGCAGCCATCCCACGAGACAAGTCATAAATATACAATTCAACTTTGTGAGACATCGCAAATCCTACTCAAAATTTCGCTTTTCCAGAATTACATAAACATCTGACAGTTACTTCTTAACCGTAAGGCTTTTCGTATTTTCAAAAACTTGCTCAATACTTTGATAAAACCGGGAAAATTCGAAATGATTTACTTGTGTGAACACCGAACAAGTCCAAATGTCACCAAAATACACGTAAGAATACACTCCATTCCAATGGAATTCGCAGTTGGTTGAATGCCATGACTTGTGAAAAAGTAGGATCAGAAATCAGCAGGAATGTCAGTACTATTGCGTTTAGACTATGGAAGAACGGGCATTTAAAATTAAATTTGAAATCAAAATGAAGCACTTGAATCAATACTATTTTTAGGTCATTCACAGTCTAATGTACTACACCTGTTTTAACATTCACGTGCAAACTAGAGAAACGCATTTCAAATCGTAAAATGTTTTGAAACATTTCCGTGTAAACTGCCCCTCTAAAATAAGAACTATATAAAACTATTATTCATCATCAGGATAATGATCTGCACCAGAATAATCACTAATAAATATCTTTATTTATATTTATTTAAAATAAATAAAAATCCGCATTTATATTTGGTGATGTAAAAACAGAATTCCTAGTAGATATCTGCTATCAATACATTAATAAAGTTGTATGGAACTAATGTAAAAAAAGTCCACTAAGACTTTATTGATTTTCTATAATTTGTGACAATTAAGAGGATAATCGATACAATTCAAATGATATTGCTTATTATAATTCCAATCTAAATTATTTAGAGCGTAAAAATAATTAAACACCCTGTATATTAACTTGTTTTACTTTATAATATTGGCAGCAAGTAACATGTCAAACTTTTTGTTATCACATGGTTGTCATTCTGAATATAACCTGTAAAGTTGCCAATTGCCAGTCATTTGAGAATTCCATGGTATAAATATTTTTTGTGGTTTTTGGAAGATGTCAAGAAATAAAACTATTGTAAGCATGCTATTTTCTGTAATAAAATATGATATTGTGCTCTTTGAAGTTCAACTATCAATTCAATTATTGTCTTCAGCAATACAAAAATGAAATTTAAAAATCTTTGACAGTGAAATTGACAATGGCTATTTTTTGCTATCAGGATTTAAGGATACGTGTTTAATCTTACCATTATTTTTTAGCTTTTACGAGTACAATCACCGGAAGGTACCAAACGTGTAGAAATAGATTTAACTGACACGACATGTCAACTTTACGAAAAAGTTCACAATCTCTTCAATCTAAACTCCTTTGCATTTGCCCTATACAAGCAGAAAAGTCAGAAGGACGAAATACCTAGTAGTAGGTCAAGAACACTTGTTGGAGCTGGCTTGAGACATGGAGATATGATCTTTTTAGCACCAACTGATGGTGCAAGATTATTTTCTGATGAACCAATTGCTTCCTCTAGTAGAGTAAGCAGTTTTCAAATTCTTTCATACTACTTGTTAATAAATGCAGAACACAACATGCTTTATTAATATATTAGTGATGATTTGGCAACTTTAATATTAACATCTATGTTTTTCCATTCTTTAGAATAATAAACCTTTTGGTGAACCAGCATATTCGTCTGAAGGAAGTACTACACAAAATTCAAGCAATTACTCCCCAAGAGTAGTTGCTAACACTTCTTCCAAATCAAATGTACAAGAAGATGAAGTTGATTTACAGTTAGCAAAAATTGAAGGGACGATAGAAAGAAAGAGGGATGATAAATTGTAAGTTTAGAGATAAATTTGTAGTTTTCATTACATTTAATAATACTAATTTTAATTTTGGAATCTTGTAGTTACCATCCTAATTTAGAAATATGTTGTTTTAGGTGTCGTCATAATCTTAATGCAAAATGTGTTCACTGCTCTCCATTGGAGGCTTATGATGAGGCTTATTTGCGACAACAAAACATCAAACACTTGTCCTTCCATGCATACCTTAGGAAACTAACATCAGGAGTGGATAGAGGGAAATTTGTTGCTCTTGAAGACATATCCTGTCGAATTAAGAACGGTTGCAAAGACCATCCTCCATGGCCCAAAGGTATCTGCTCCAAATGCCAACCGAATGCTATCACTTTAAACAGACAGGTAGTTATATATGACATATATATCGGAATGAGTTTTCTCTTTATAAATAATATAACTAATGTTTTCTTTCTTCCAGCCCTACAGGCACGTAGACAATATTACTTTTGAAAATACACATTTAGTCGAACGATTTTTGAATTATTGGCGTGCTACAGGACACCAAAGAATTGGACTTTTATATGGTAATTACGAAATTTACAACGACGTGCCTTTAGGTAAATTGTTAATATCTTCTTCAGCTAAATTGACATGTAATTTGTTTGTTTATTGTTGTTGTTTAGGTATCAGAGCGAATGTTGCAGCTATTTACGAACCTCCTCAAGAAGGAAGTCGTGATTCTATTCGTTTATTAAAGGACGATAAGGCAGAAATAGTGGATGGGATAGCAGCCAAATTGGGCTTGAAAAAAGTCGGATGGGTTTTTACTGATTTAATACCCGAAGATGTTCAAAAAGGCACTGTGAAATACATCAGGAGCGGCGCCTCACACTTCCTCACCGCTCAGGAGTGCATAATGGCAGGATATTTTCAAAACATGCATCCCAATCCTTGTAAATTCTCCTCCAGCGGTTATTTCGGCTCGAAATTCGTTACTGTTTGTATAACAGGTGAGCTTTGCATTGCATTAACAAACCAAACAAAAATAGAAATGTAAAACAACCAAAAGAATTGATATCAAAAAGGGTACCAAATAATATATAAAAAAGACGTAAATGAATAGGTCGCATTTTTTAAAGTTAATCCTTTATTTTCTACTTTGTCTTAAGAACAATAAGAAATTAAAAAAGTCATTTTATTTATAAAGCTGCTGCCATATCAAAATATTAGATATTCTATACAGTAGGTTTATTCTTTTGATTTTCGCTAAACTGCCCCTCCTGACAGCACTTCACTACTTTATTGTCAAGTTAGGGTCGTTTTTATAATAAAAAAAGTTTGTTACGCTGTATTAGTTTTGAGTTTACACATTATATTCTGCATCTATCCATAAAGCTTTTAAACTATCCTTATATATAGTAGTTTGGTACACAAAGTTAATTCACGACAGTTTGCAAAAAATGCCGGAATTTTAGGTCAGATTAAATCAGTGAACCTACTGTATATAATATATTTATATTGTGGTCATATCAATAAAATTTTCAAACTAATCTTGTTGTAATTGACAAATTTCCATTACATAAATACATATATTACTTAAGTACTGATACAGAAAATGTATATTCTGTTTTAATGTTTGTAGTGTGGTCAATAATAATTCTCTCTTCTTTTATAGGTGATAAAGATAACCAGGTACACATGGAAGGATATCAGGTGTCTAATCAATGTATGGCTTTGGTTCGAGACAACTGCATCGTGCCCACTAAAGATGTTCCTGAATTGGCGTACGTCAAAGAGTCATCGGACAAGCAGTACGTTCCTGACGTCTATTACAAGGTAAGGCTTTCCTTTTTATATTTATTTTGGCTTGGGAGTAGTATATGAGCAAAAAAAAAATCGAAAAAGCTTGTACTTCAGATATTTTAGGGAGTAACAAGTTAATATAGAAAATTCTAAAACATTTTGACTTTTTTCGATGTAAAACGGTTTAAAATGGGGTCAGGGGGAGTTTAAATGTAAGTAAAAGTTTTAGCATTTACCTGCTTTAACAAATTGAAAATGTGAGGGGAAAGTTTTTAGGAATATTATATATAAAAGAAATTATGAGTGCTGTCAGCACAGGGCAAAGTAGTATTACGTAGGTAGTATCAGTAATTTCTTATGCTGAAGTGTACGATGTGTTGCATACCTATTTACAAACAATTCCTTTAAATTTAATTTTTCAAGCAATTCTTAACACAAAGAACTTAACAATTTGTTCACAAAAGTGAATTTAAACCACTCAAAGCAATGGTGCTAATAGTTTCGAGCTCAACTGACTGATAGATAGGGGGAAGAACTAGTATATTGAAAAAAAAATTCTTGTGACAGATGCAGAAGGACTTTTATTTTGAAATCTATTTGGTGAGGTGATAGGTACTTTAGTTATCACAAATATAAAACAATTCAAAGGCACAAACACTTTCTACTACATCAACTTTTTAATGGGAGGAAGTCATTCAATAGCTAACGTGATCACACATTATTATTATTATTATTATTCGTCCGAATTTAGCTCAAAGTGCTGCTAAAATTAATTAAACTGATTAAAAGAATTATATCTTTTTTATTTGACTACACATTGATACCTACATTCATTTACGATTTCAGCCTCAAACAGTTTTTTCGTTTTATTATTATTTTACTTGAGGTATTTTTATTCAGTTTTTTTTTTTTTAATTCTATTAGAAGCCCTCTACACTGCATTTAAATAATTTATTTGTTTAGATTTACTTGTCTTTAATAATAATAGTAATATATAATTTAATAAGTTGTAATCTGAAATATCGAATATGTGCTTTCACGTTAGTTTACATACGTCGATCAACTGATAAATTTACTATTTAGTTCACATTTTTTTAAACACTTAAACTTCTAGAGCTATGCATTTTACAACTTGCATAACATTTATAATATATAATATATATGTGTATATATATTTTTTGCTTTCATTAGCTTACACGATTTAATCTCTAG